CCCTTCCCCCCCTTCCAACTGACAACACTGAAAAAAGCAATAGCTTCAATCAAAGCAAAAATCCTGAAGGGTATGATGGAGCTGCATTGGACATCAAAGAAATGTTTAGCAAGCTCCCACAGGCGAATAAAGCAATAGCTTCAATCAAAGCAAAAATCCAAATATGGCACCCCCCTTTAAAAATGAGTAGGGGTCAGACAGAGGTGAGTCTCTCCCCTCCAAACCATACGTCGCAGTCTCCCGTCCTACAGTTCTCCATCAGCGTGCCGTCTTGAAGGATGCAGTGAGCTGGCTAAGCGAGGAATATGAGGGGATTGGGAAAACGGGCGTGTACATGGAGGGGCTTAAAGAGGGTTTAGAAGGAGTTGCCACTGAGAAGTGATGGCAAAGGGAGAAGCAACGAGGAAGAAGGAGAAAAGTGGATGGATAGAAATTGCTTCCACGAAATCATCCAGTACGCGGATTTTGAGATCCGAGGATGCATTCTCAGTGGCATAGGGAACATTCATTTGGCAGAGAGCGGAGATACCAATGGGTAAAGAGCAGTGGTCCCCCCCTCTGGCGTGCATTTTGTGTATGTGGAATGAATGCCATTTATAAGAAAAAGTATGGGAAGTGATAGCAAGCTTGGTGAAGGGTTACAGACTTATTGATGATTTGTTGGTCTTCCTTCGGAAAGCCAAATCCACAAAGGAAAAGAGGAAAGTGGTAGGGGGGTCAATGAAAAGATCAAAGATGCCAAGCTTTGTGATGCAGCACTCACTCTGAAACAAACAGGTCAGTGCTGCAGAAGGGCAATGGGACTTCCTTGTTTGTTTCAAAGCAGAAAGGCAATGGGACTTCCTTGGATGTGAGGTAGTCGTTGGACACATCCTGGGAAGGATCACTGATAGATGCAAGTGGAAAATGAGGAGGAGGTGTGGAAGGACAACGACTGAGTTTTCTAACACTTCAGTATTTGGCAACATATTCTGATAATCACCAGAAATGCGCAACTATCATGGGGGACTTGCACAGGATCCGTGCGCATACGAATGATCTGCCAGCTGTGGAGAAGAAGAAGAAGAAGAAGAAGAAGAAGAAGAAGAAGAAGAAGAAGAAGAAGAAGAAGAAGCAGAAAGAAGAAGAAGAAGCAGAAGCAGAAGCAGAAGCAGAAGAGAAGAAAGAAGAAAAAGAAGGAGATGAAGATGATGAAGAAGAAGAAGACAAAGAAGAAGAAGAAGAAGAAGAAGAAGAAGATGATGAAAGAGATGAAGATGATGATGAAGAAGAAGAAGCTGAAGGAGAAGAAGAAGAAGAAGAAGAAGAAGAAGAAGAAGATGAAAGAAATGAAGATGATGATGATGATGAAGAAGAAGAAGCTGAAGGAGAAGAAGAAGAAGAAGAAGAAGAAGAAGAAGACGAAGAAGAAGAAGAAGAAGAAGAAGAAGAAGAAGGAGGAGGAGGAGGAGGAGGAGGAGGCAGGTGTCTCAATCTCGCCGCCTGGGCCCAATCCTGCCAAAACTGGGCCAAGCGTGGGCACCCCCCAAAACCTAGTTTCAATGTTCTAATTTTTCAATTTCCAATTTCTCAAATTTCAATTGCAAATTCGACGCAACAATTTTTTTTGTTTTTAATGACCCGTCAAAACACAGACTGAGAACACTGCTGATTTCTGAGTTTTGCCGCTCGAATGAATGCCTTGCTGAGATTCCCACGTTCTGCTGAGTTTTTTTAGCCTGTGTGTGTGCGTGCTCGCTGATCTGCGTGCCTGTCTGAGTGCTTGTTGGTCTGAGTGTGTGTGCGACTCGCAAGGGTACTTGTTTGATTGCCCCGCAGGGCTGGTACTTACCTGTGGCCGTGACTTCAAGGGTTGCAGCGGGGAAAACACTCAAGTGGCGGGAGTAGGCCCCCGAGACTTAGAGCAGTGGGAAAAAACACTCAAGTAGTAGGTAGGCCGGTAGCACTCAAGTAGTGGTAGATGTGTCAGGAACTGGAGGCCGAGCAGAAGAAGACAAACCTTGGCATTTTTAGAGGCCCAGTAGTTGGTAGGATAGGTCTAGGCAGGTACCTGTCCAAGTAGCCTGAGTGTAGGGCCTGTGCGGATGATATCAGAGCCTGCAATGATGTTTCCCTCCGAAAGAGAGGAGGTACCGGTTGCTTGGAGGCCACGCGGCCTGGAAGTCACCGCCCAAGAGGCAGGTAGGCCGCTATATCTCAGGGAGGAGCGAAGTGCTCCTCCTCATTTGCGGTATGCAAGTTTGGGCAATATGCTGCTTGAGCAAGTGCTAGCAGTCTGGCCGCTGAAGGAAGAGCAGCGCTGGTAGGAGGAAGAAGGCCGGGAGCTTCCACCTTGGCTATGGTGGAGCTCTACCGGTAGGAGGAGGAGGAAGAAGGGGTCTAGGGAGGAGAGCGGCAAGGTACTCACCTGGCTATGGTGGGCGCCATCTTCATCACCTTTGTTAGGTGCTGCATCTGGAAGGCCCCCGTGGAGGTTGCGCCGCACCAAGCAGGCTTCGAGGCAGAGTCAGGCATGGCGGCCTAAGCAGCGGCGAACATAGCTGCTTTGCGATGTCTTTTGCACAGCACGGCAAGGCCCTTAGTTCCGCCGGATAAAGGAGGAAGAAGGAGGCCATGGCTATGGTGGACCTCTGTTGATCCCAGGCAGTAGAAGTGGGATTCGGACTTTGATTCTGGTTTAGCCATTCTTCAGTATTATTTTATTTATTGTTGGAGTCAGAGTGGAGGCAATAAGGAGGTGGAGTTGGTTGGCGAGAGGAGGAACTATCATTGGTCTCCTGCTGGTGTACATCTTCTTCTTTCTTTCATCTCCTACTCCTACTTCTTTATCTCTCCCTCCTCTCAAGGTCATTCATTTCTTTTGCTATTGGGCGACATTGTGCTTTCTCTTGAATTTTTCACTTCGAAATTGGCCAGGATCGTAACATTTTCCAGATCTCTTGTATTTTTCAGAAGTTTCTTGATTTTGATCTGGGGCTGCCCGGGGGCTGGCTGGGACCTTTCCCTGCAGCGCATTCTGGGCAGCCACAGGCAGCACGGGCGCCCAGAAAGTATCTCGGTAGAAACCCTAAACCCTAAACCCTAAACCCTAAAGAAAGCTTGAAAGTTCAAAAAATTCAAATTTGTTGATTTTGTTTTCAATTGAAAATTGGAAAGAAAATCCAGTCTTATGGCTGCATCATACGTCCATGATGCAAATTCGTTGTCTTCTTCCCATAAGTACATGCAACGTCAGCATCAACAAATAGTATTCACCCCTGAGTTGTTGTTTCACTTGCAAGTGAAAATGAAAAGGGATCCCACAAGAATGGACGCAGTTGTTGAGAGGCCTTACAAATGGGAGTGGGGAGATTGGGCGACCTGGAGCATAAGCACAGTCCCAGAGCAGGCCTTTCGGGTGCAGCAGGAAGTAGGACCCACTAACCAGTGGCTGGATGCTGAAATGTTCGCAGTTTGTAATCCGGGGTTCACAGTGAGTCAACTGGATAAGGACTCTAGGATGGCAATCACAGTCAAGAAAAGTTTGCTCAGGAAGGTCAGGGTGGTAGAGGACGATGAACTTACAATATTCGCACCTACAGTGGCCATTCAAGACTTGGAGTACGACCCGGCGGAATGGGTGTGGAATATTAGGGGTGGAGAAACAAGAATAGCCACGAAGATCAACATACTCCGCTATACAATGAAAATAGGTTATAGGCTGAGGAGAAGATCGACCCTGTTGGACCTTCCCTTAGCATTAAGATGGGAAAAGAGGGAGGGGATACCAAGGGACCAGGTGGGGAAGCTACCCTGGTCATCCCTACACAGTATAAGATTGGGTAAGGTCAGAAGCCTGCAGTGGCTCATCTTTCACGTGGCCCTCCCAGTTAACTCGTGGCTATATGAAAGAAGAAACAGACAAGCTAGGGTCGGGGAGGAACGAAACTGCCCCTTGTGTACGGGTGGGACACCAGAAACGATGGTTCACTGTTTAATCTCATGTCCGGAAGCAGAGCAGGTTTGGGCGTTAGCTCGCACACTATGGTCCCGGGTCATGGAAGTTCCCTTCCCTCCACTCAGGGACCGCCTCCTTATCAATATGGAAGCGCCCAGGGGCTGGAACTCCAGCCAGAAATGTATTTTCAGCTGCTGAGGCTATATACACTGTGGACAGCCTGGAAAAGAAGGTGTCAAAGGGTGGTAGGCGATAACCCCATGACCATAATGGAAGCCAAAGTAACGCTGTACAACCTGCTGGAAACGGACATCAGAGCCCAATGGCTGCGAGCCAAGAAGCAAGCGGAAGCAGGGAGAGTTGAATCCAGGAAAGGCTAAGGAAATAATTGACAAGTTTCGGACAAGGGTGCTAGCAGGGGGCAAAGTAGCGTCATTGGAAGGGAAAGTCTTACGCTTCCATTGGTTTAAGGACGATCTCCAAGACTCACCGAACAAGGACGAGAATCGGGACCCGGAGCTGGGACTACCATAAGCCGCGGGAAGGAGGAATTATCTGCAGAAAAGGAGGCTCGCAAGGGCAGGGCCGAGGATAGGAACGACGCAAGGGCGGGTGTGACGTGCCCGCTAGGAAATGGTCTTACAGACAGCTCAGAAGGGGACGGATGACAAGTTAGTGAAGAGGGGGAGTAACGGATGAGAGATTGCCAATTAAGGCATCTAAGGAAGAGCAGGGTTTAGGGTTTAGGGTTTAGGGTTTAGGGTTTAAGGTTTTTCAACATTTGATATGTAGGGGAAGGGTTTTAGGGAAGTAGGAGAGAACACAGCATTTTAGGGTGGGATTGATTATGGGGGGCAGGAAGGACATTCAGCAGCAAAGGAAAATCTCTTCCTAGGTTTATCAGGGATTTTCTGGCAGAGCTGTTAGGGCAGGTCTGAGAGGGAAGAGAGACTCAAGGCAAGCTGACAGTCAATCCTCCACCAAGGGTGGAGTAATCAATGCTGTTCAGGGGTCCTCCGGCCGGACGGGAGGAAGCGTGTGTTGTTAATATGTATTGCATTATACTGCGACTTGCCGGTGGAATAGGAACTGGACTGACGCTCCCCAGAATAGAAGGAGCCAGGTCCATAAGGCCCTGTTTAAAAAAAAAAGAAAAAAGAAAAAGAAAAGGGAGGGTGATTTTCCGCTGCTGAAGGTGTGCCTTCCTTATTAAAGGATGAGTAATCGTAATACTGTCCATGCTATGGATCGCCTTTTTTCCACACCCTTCCCCCCCCCTCTTTCAATGGTAACATCCATGTGTGGACCACCACCAAACTAGGCATGGCATGACATGTAATATTCATACACCTGACCTGACTCGAGGCAGGGTCGTCAATATTACCTGAACGAAGAGATGTGGCTTCCCATCATCTCCTGGAACGCATTGGCTGCTGAAACATCCACCTCCAAAGGGCAATTTCCTATAGTTGCCCCTGATCCAAGACACACTTCCATCTCCAAAACACCTGAGCCAAAGAGTTCCATCATGTAAGGAGGCGTCAGTTGGTATTGCTCAAAGGGCTCCAAATGCGGTAACCTAAGGAGTCAGGACAGACATAGCAGATGGTAACCTTACACTAACCTAAGTGTAGCCTAAGGCTAACCTAAAGGTAGCCTAAGGCTAACCTGAGGCTAACCTAAAGGTAGCCTAAGGCTAACCTGAGGCTAACCTAAGGGTAGCCTAAGGCTAACCTGAGGTTAGGCTAACCTAGGGTAGCCTAAGGGTAACATAAGGGTAACCTAAGGGTAACCTAAGGGTAACCTAAGGGTAGCCTAAGGGTAACCTAAGGCTAACCTAAGGGTAACCGAAGGGTAGCCTAAGGGTAACCTAAGGCTAACCTAAGGGTAGCCTAAGGGTTAATCATCCAAGACATAGTTCCATATCTTCCTTGCTGAAAGGGCTGGAATGTTGTAACCTAAGGGTAAATCAGGGGTAATTTATCCAAGAGTCCAAGGCACAGTTCCATCTTCTGCTTGCTGAAAGCCTAAAAATATTTTCTTCTTTTTTTTTGTTTTTGTCTTTTTTTGTTTTTGTCTTTTTTTGTTTTTGTTGAAGCAACAGACTCCTGGATAAATTAGTACACATGTTTTAACTTTTAAATTTTGCGCCATATGTAACTAATGACTTTATCGTCGCAGAGAACCGCCAGGTGAACTCTCGAACGCATAACACTCCCAGACGGGCCAACACTGCGTGCCTCCTGGATGTTTCCGCCAGGCCAGCGGCACGGGTTGCGTGCCCCCTCGGCAGAGAGGGAGACGAGGACAACAAACGAGCGGCTGTAACTGACTCTTTCGTCCGAGTTTCAACAACTCATATATATGTTGTCACATATCTATCAAGTAGTAGTATCAACTAAGGGCCTCACCACACCACTCTTGAAACGGTGGAATGTTTCAAGAGCTGTTAGAAGTTTTCAAGAGAGTTTACATTCTCTAGAGTTTTCGGTCCCTGGCCACACAGCAAGAACTCGGGTCTTGCGAT